ACAAGTTTATGTAGACGACATTATTTTTGGTGCTACTAATGAATCTCTATGCAAGGAATTTTCAAAATTAATGACAAACGAGTTTGAAATGTCGATGATGGGAGAACTCACGTTCTTCCTAGGCTTACAAGTTAAGCAAATGAGAGATGGCACATTCATCTGCCAAACTAAGTATTGTAAGGAACTCCTTAAGCGTTTTGAAATGGAAAACGCAAAAGCAATGGCCACACCTATGAGCACGTCCGACCATCTCGACAAGGACGAAAAAGGTAAGGAAGTTGAGGTCAAAAAATATCGAGGTATGATCGGTTCCCTTCTTTATCTTACCGCTAGTAGACCGGATATTATGTTTAGCGTATGTCTATGCGCAAGGTATCAATCTTGTCCAAAAGAATCGCACTTGACGGCGGTTAAACGGATAATGAAATACCTTGTGGGCATGACCAACGTTGGACTATGGTATCCAAAAGGTTCACCGTGTCATCTTGTAGGCTACTCCGACTCAGACTTCGCGGGTTGCAAACTAGACCGCAAAAGTACAAGTGGGACGTGCCATTTGCTTGGTAGTTCTTTAGTCTCATGGTTTAGTAAGAAACAAGTTAGTGTTGCTTTGTCCACTACCGAGGCAGAGTATGTCTCCGCTGGGAGTTGTTGTGCTCAAATCCTTTGGATGAAGCAACAACTCGTGGATTATGGCCTTAGTATCGATCATGTTCCTCTTCGTTGTGATAATACTAGCGCCATAAGCTTGACGAAGAACCCCGTTCTTCATTCAAGAACAAAGCACATTGACATTAGGCACCATTTCATCAGAGATCACGTTCTCAAAGGTGATGTCAAAATTGAGTTCGTTGAAACAAAGTCTCAACTTGCCGACATTTTCACCAAGCCTTTAGAGAAAGAGTCGTTCTTCCGAATTCGTAGCGAACTAGGAATCCTTAACTCTACCTTGATCTAATATGTGCATTTTATCTATCATTCATTAAATCATTACTAACTTGAGCTTCGGAGGGTTTTCTAACTCTTTTTTGCAGGTGCATCACTTAAATGTTTCTGGAAGACAGGGGGAACCAGCGATGGTAAGCCAAGCACATCGCTGGTCAGGACAGCGATGGGTCAATATACCCTTCGCTGGGTAAAGCATTCGCTTCCACCAGGACCAAGTACCCATCGATGGTACATTTACACCATCGATGGTCATTTACTCCATGTTATTTTAAAATTTCTTATCGCATTCCAGCTATCCCTACCCATCGATGGGTGTAAGGGACCATCGCTGGTCTGCAGATGCTTGGGTTTCCAGTGGCTCCCAAACCAGCGATGGTACTTCTTACCCATCGCTGGTAAGCCTTTAGTGCTCAACTCCAGACTTTCCAGTAGCTCCTTTACCAGCGATGGTGTTTTTGACACATCGCTGGTTGGTCCTCTTTTCTTTTTCATTAATTTCCAAAAACCCCCTCCCCGTCGATGGTTTTTCTTACCCATCGATGGGCGACCAGCGATGGTCAGGTTACCCATCGCTGGTTTGACGGGTTCTTTCAAAAAAATCAGTCCGTTGAGTACCACATTCAATGCCCAACAGCTCTTTTTCAAATACCCAACGGACAAATGAGTGTTTTCTATAAAAACGACCCATTTTTGGGTCATTTTTCCTCATCTTTTTCACTCCAAATCAATCCATTGAGCAATGGTTGACTCTTTCTTCATCTTTTTTTCTCAAACTCTTCTCAAATAGCCGGAGGAAAAACCAAGACCAAGGCCACCATGTCCAAGAAGAAGAGCATGGCCGATGCATCGTCCTCGCTGCCCGAAACGTACCCGTACCTTGATGGGTCGTTTCTCGAGTTTGGATCGGAGGCGGAGCTCCATCACTTCCTCTCCTATTTCTCTACGCGCCCCATCGCGCCGCCTCGCATCCTCCCGGAGCTTTACCCCCAACAAAAGGGATTTCATGATCTCGACAACCAGCTCCAAGCTTCAGGACTTTGGCCGTTCGTCTCCAAGAGCCACCAAAGCTTCAACCACGGGCTTGTGCGTGCGTTCTACTCCAACCTACGCCGAGAAGGGGACGTCCTCAAGACGAGCATCAATCTCTATGACATAGAGATCACGTTGGACACCCTCTCTCGCGTCTCAGGGCTGCCTACTCGGGGAGAGGATATCGCGACGTACGGAGGCGAAGATTGGCACGTCAACAACGAAGGCGTGGTCCTTCGAGAGCTTGGCATCACCAACCTCATCCGGCACAAGGGCGCACCGACCATTCACTCCGCTCCTTTGGAGAAGAGGGTCCTACTCTACCTTCTCACCCGGGTTCTCCATCCTCGGGATCACAGCCACACCACCCTCTTCACCGAAGACGTCAAGATGATCCACGCGATCATGCACGGAGCCGACGTCAATTGGGCCAAGTTCATCATGATCAACATGGCCGATTGTGCATCCATTAGCACCGAGAGGAGTCTCCCTTATGCTTTCCTAGTCATGGAGATCATTGCACGCAACAACATCCACATCGCCGACCCCGTCACCAAGATGACCAAGCTTTGGCTCATCAACGATGGCACCTTCCGGAAGAAGTCCGGAAACCGCAATGGCGCAGGGACAAGCCGTGTCACTACCGCTGCCCCTGCCCGAGCTTCTCTCCAGTCTATTGCCGACTCTCTCAACGCCCTCATGGTCAACATTGATGACATGGGCCGTGCCGTTGAGCGCATCGACCGGACTGTGCAGCGCCAACGTCATGATATGCGCGCCTACTTCAAACAAGTCCAGTACGTCCCTCCTCCGTATGATGGGACTTTCCTCGGCCAAGACTATGATGGCGGGGATGAGGACGACGACTCCTATGCTCCGTCGTCGTCACCCGACGAGGACGAGTTTGATGAAGAGGTGGACGGCGATGCCATAACCGTTGAGGATGACGAGAACGACGATGAAGACTCCTAGACTTTCTTCACTCCTTATCTTTATTATTTCTATGTTGTTTTCTTTACTATTCCGTTGTATTCCGCATTTCCCTTATCGTTATTGAATAAAAGTTATCTTTTAAATCTTTTTGTTAATGTCAAAAGGGGGAAGATGTTGGGTTATGCACAATTTGAGGGGGAACCTTTATCCTTAAACAATCTTTTTCAAAGTATTAAATTTCCAAGAATTTAAAATATTAATAATGATGCTTTGATTAAGGGGGAACTTAAGGGAATCTTTTCAAATAAACCTTGCTTCTCAAATGCATAAACCCCGTCTTGTTTGCCATTATCAAAAAGGGGGAAATTGTTGAATCACGGTTTATCACTTCGTAATACTAAAGCCGTGTCTGTTTTTGTTACAGGTTTTGATAATGCCAAACCTCTGTGAAACAAACGCAAGAAAAGAATACACAAGGCGAGAATCAAGAAGACGAGAACGAGAGCCTAAAAGAGAACCAAGAACAAAGACTTAGGTGTAAATGTATTGAGTCGATCCTATTGTGATCAAGATCGACCCAAGACTCATCTATTGGCTCTTTAGGCTAAAGAATTCTCTCTTGCATTTGCATAACATCAAAATACTTTTCAAATATGTCTTTTGTGAAAAACCTTTCAAAACATG